GTATTTACAAATACCGTTCATTTAATAAGAAATAAAACTGCCAACATTGCTTCACTTCTTACGAGAGGGAAACATTTCTGAGCCTTTCGTTTTGCTGCAAACTTGAGTCTTACTTAAGGCATACAGACTGCAAGTATTATAGAGGTCGCCGCCCGGAAGTCGAAAGGGTTCATATCAATTGTACTGAATATTCCTCTCGACAAGTTTAAAAGTTCATGACCCATTCGGCAGGCACATCCCAATACAATTGTTGAGTTGTTATCTGTACCAATGTGACCTTATGTAGTGGCGTTCTACCAAACCGCTCCCCTACCCACAACCATTCCAATTCGTCCAAACTAAATAAATAAATGAAAAAAATATTAACACATAACTTAACGAAAACAATAGAAACAAATTAAAAAACATGAATAATGCAGATGGTAACATAATGTAAGCATTTCAGGTAGGTGTTTACACGTATGTAATTTGGTCAGTTGTTTATACACCTGGAAACTGTAGGTGGACTCAGTAGCTTATACCACGTTAGTGCTAAAGACAAACGAATGAGAATTCTGGTCATTTGTTATAGACACGGGGTTGTACTGCGGCCTGTTACACTGGACACGTGAATGTGTACTTCGGTCAAAACTATGTGCACTCTGTGAACTCTGTGGAAGTTAATCTGGGCACGTGTTTTGCTTATCCATGTAAATTATTCTTGGCATGTGGTTTGGTAATCCATGAAGGTAATCTGGGTACATGGTTTGTTAATCCATGTAAGTTAATCTGGGTACGTGGTTTGTTAATCCATGAAGGTAATCTGGGCACGTGCTTTGTGTATCCATGTAAGTTAGACTTTGCACGTGATTTGTTAATCCATGTAAGATAATCTGGGTACATGGTTTGTTAATCCATGTAAGTTAATCTGGGCACGTGGTTTGTTAGTCCATGAAGGTAATCTGGGCACGTGTTTTGTGTATCCATGTAAGTTAATCTTGACACGTGATTGGTTAATCCATGTAAGTTCCTCTCGACACGTGCCTGTTCAAATTGACCAGTTGTTCTGAACGATTATATCATCATATGTTTTCCGGGACATATTGAAAACAATTTCCCATTGGCACATAATCTTGAGTTAAAAACATTTGGAAAAGATCAAAAGAATATTAATGAAATGTTTCTATTGATTCGAATACGTTTAACATAATGCTGTATTTGTGAAACATTTCGCGCGTCACATCGTTTACATATATGATAAATTATGCTCCTAATTTAAAATGAAGGTCAGTCAATTCAGGTGTGTCGAAAATTATCATACACCACAAAGAGAGTTTCTTTATTGGATGCACAGAAAACAGTATGCAAATATTTTCAAATTCGTGGCTACAAAAATGTTTACTTCAATTTACTAAATAAACTATCGAAACGGGCTCACATTACATTTGAAACGTAGCAAATTATGATGTCATGATATCAAAAATCCGAAAGCCAATGTCTTTTGATAATAATTTCAAATATAAGATAAATTAATCGCCGTAGCAGGCTTAATTAAATTTGAAGTATTGATACTTTCAAACGTTACCCGTAGTTGCTGACAAATGCATTGACTGCACACGTATTATTTCTGTACATTGCGGGATATTTGGTGATGTCGAATCGTCATGTATCCAACGAAAGAAACTGTCTTTTGCTCCGACAGCTAACAAACCAAGAAAATGAGGCTTTTATTAAACAAGAATAACATAGTCTCACACATTATACTGCTTATACTTTATTTTGCCAGAACATAAAAAATAAGAACGCTGTAATGTGTAAATCCCGTAGTTCACCGATACGCATTTCTTTAATAGCGCAGCTTAATTATAATAATTGTATCTGATGCATGGCTCAGTTGGTAAATTGGGCGGTGCCGTTAACAGATAAAACATTTTTGATTGAATGCCGTTTATTATACTATCATGTTTGTGTACACTTTTGTTGTTTTAATTTTTATTTATGTGCTTCTTTGATTTTGTATTCCATATTTTGTTTCACTTGTAGAATCAGTGGAAGTTCTGGACGTATTTGATACCTAGACAACTTTCACAAGTTTATATATCTTGTAAGGTCTTGACATATTGCTGAAAATCACCAGGAATCCTTGCACATTGAATGTAGTAAATATTATCGATAACGATCAAACGTTGTTGCGGCTACATTCCTTCCGTAAAACGGAGTGTGTGTTTCTGTTGTGAGATTTTCACTCATTCATATATATCGGTCTCTGTAAATGGTGTAGGAGGATTTATCACATAGAGGTTCACATCAATTCCATACTTAAGTACACATAGGTAGGTGTCTACAGGTGTTTTTAGGTCAGGGGTTGCCACAGGTGTAGGTGTCATACATACAAATGTTATTGTCCTTTACTGTACCAACTACTTTATCTTACTGGGTTCATAAAATGAACATGATTCATTACTCTATGACACTTCTATCTGTGAGAGCCAGTTGTGTCATATTGACTTAACAACTACAAATACATTTTTTTTTACATTTCAGGGGTCCAATTTAACGGAGGAAATATCGGTTATAATACGGTGGCTGATTTATTTGGTTTGTTTGTGATTAACGTCCTATTAACAGCGATGGTCATTTAAAAAACATGCCGTGTTTATGTGGTGGAGGAAAGCCGGAGTTCCCGCAGAAAAACCACAGACCTACGGTCAGTACCTTGCGACTGGCCCATGTAGGCCTCGAACCCGCGACCCAGTGGTGGAGGGCAAGTGGAACATGTAGCAGAATGTCAAACGCCTTAACCACTTGGCCACAGCGGCCTTCGGCTAATTTGTACATTTTCACTGGTTTGTCTTTGATTTAAGACATGTTTACATATGTATCTTCTTTTGGGAGAAACCGATGGAAGAACGAGAATTAAGGTTTGTTAATAAGGGGTTTCTCGTGGCGAAAAGACGAACCACGAAATGGCACCAACCAGTCAGATTTTCAGCTTTTTGTCGATGTCTTCTACTATTGAACCTTTACTCGTTGTGTCTGACATTTGTGGAGTCCTCCATCCTAAATAGCAGGGAAAAGGAGGTTGCATGATGGGTGTGATAATTTATACAGAAAACAACGGATTTTATATCCGGTTAGTGTGATTTTTTCTTCGGTTGTAACAAAATTGAGTTTGCATTGTACAGTTTGTGTGCTGACGCTGTGGCATATTTTGTTCGGATATAGAACTGTTATAGTGTCGTACCAAAGGCAAAACTGTATGAACGTAATCAACAAAAAAGAGCTTGTATGATTTACAAAAGGCATGCGTTAATTCATCAAACACAAATTGTAACAAAACAGTTACCAAGCTTTCCATTACCAAGATGACATCTATTGTTGTTGAGACTCTGGTGGTTGATAGATCGGATTGAAAATGGCAAAACAATAAATATGAATTTCTGGTGTATAATGGACAATTACTTCGACAAAGATTTAAATGGCAGGCGTCTTCCGGAACACCAAGTTGTATCCTTTTTGATCTTTGTCAAGGGTTCCCATGAAACATTTTCCTTTGATCATATCTTGTGATAGATTTATTGATTTTGAATTCGAATATTGGTTTTTTATTTGTGCGGTCGGGCACTGGTTACGGTAAGAACATTTATGGCAGACTGTCTGTCGACGTGTTATATTCATCCGATCGGAATAAGAAAGAACTCTGCAATGTTGTAAGTTCGCCCTGCCGTTTATCCGACAGGCCTACTCCTATTTCTTACAATAACTTGTGTTCCCGTAGGTTCATTCTTAAATAAATTGCTTGCTAAGATGTACGTTTTGGGTTTGGTTGAAAGAAAAAAAATCCTACCTTAATATAGATATGTTTTCTGTACGTTTGGGCAAGTTACCGTGACCTGATCACTCGTAAACGTCATACATTGCTTCCATACGGGAAGTGCTTCCAAAGACTCTCTCTCCAGGTCAAACACTAACACATCAATGTCACTGAATCTATATTTATACATCATTGCTTTCTGCACCACATTTGAATGAGTGGAACTTGTTAATATTGGAAGAACCAACTACAGAACGTTATATAAGAAATAAAATATCAATCCACTCACTTCATGTAAAACTACGTTTGAAACTAAAAGGTAGAGTTGGCCTACAACGGGGCAAGCTGTGCATCTCATATTGCTGACGTAGATTTTTTATATTATATATTTTCAAGAGGTTCAATCATTTTGATGATAAAAGTTAATCTCTACTGATTAAAAAGAAAAATAACCGTACGAAGTCTTAAAGAGGAGGAGTCAATGAATAGTGATCTGCCCGAAGCAAATCAAGGTGAGTCAAATTTGACTGCATATGGTCGCTGTCTTCATTTAAGACTCTGCAGTGGTACCAACAATCAAATGATTCGACGATTTGTAGAAATACAACGTAAGAACAAACTGAGTTGTTTACACAAACACTGTTTCGATTCAATAGAACAACTTTTACTAAAACCTTATGCTTCATGTACATGTATATCGTGTCAGAATATCGATGATATGCTGTCGTTAAGCAGCCAGGAATATGCTGACTTTTTCTTTTGTGTGTACCTCCTTAACTAAACTAGGATGTTGATTTCATTTTGTAGATTCCTTTTTTCATCAGCTTTTGCATGTCGACAAGGTTTTGTATTATATACTTAACTACGGAGATTTCTTTCATCTACATGTTAAATGTTTTTGTTTCACTCACGCACGTTTATATTCAATCGATAAACGATGTAAGATTGCAATGTATGATACAGGACTTATCTAGAGCTGAGATAAAGTAATAACCATTATATTATGTATTTAGTTAATGTACAAAACTGAGTACAGTAATGTTTTGAGATTCTACTGGACACGTGTTGACCCATGTACATTCTGCATGTATGTATGTGTGACACTGGTAAGTTTAAACCTGTGTATCACTAGAGCATAGGTAACAGGAGGAATATGACCTTGATATACACGCATGACTTCACTACAAATCAACATCAAGACGCAAACCTGATGACTGAAGACATTTATTATTCATATAAATATTCATTGCAACACTCGGAAAAGCAGCGAAGGCAGGATTTCAATGTAACAATACAAAACATTACAAGACATGGTTGAAGTAAATACAATGATCACTGTCCAGTAAAGCTCATTACGGTTTCAATCTTCAAATATCTAAATATCTTTTAAATGGTACCAATAGTAAGAAGTTTTCCTTTTAAAAACCAATATAAATCGTTACCATAGATTCTCGATAATTAGCTTAATTCAAAAATAGGTCCACCTTGAAAATAAGTCTTGTTCCATGTAACCAGACTTACTTCGAAAGCAGTCCAGATTTATAAATTATCCATGGCTATAATGCAGAGTGGTTACGCCCGTTGTCGTCATGGACGTATCAGACAAGTATTTATTAAATTACAAAAAGTTATAGGATTATAACTCTCAGATAATTCCATTTGTCTATAAATTAATTTAAATAAGTATGTGCATTAGAACAGTTTTATATATACATTAATCCTTAATGTATTGGAGATGTACATTTAGAAATTTACAGTAACAAGTGATAGCGTTATCATGAATACGATCTACTGTCAGCTGATAGCTTTCAAAATACGACAGTCTTAAAAGTATGCCATAAAAAACCAACTGTTTGAATGGCTTCGAAATATAAGACGGCCTTAATGAAAGACAAATTCCGAAAAAAAAACACCATACCAACAAGAAAAACTTATTATCGAAATTTCAGAAAAATAGCACCATCTTGAGACCTCAACTATAATGATTGGAGCTTTTCGAGTGAACAGACATTTACTGTAACAGAACAAACATTAATAATTATGATAAACATCTTAAATTAACATTAAGCTTTGATAGAATGAACATATACATGTATTGCTTGCTAAGTATTATGACCGAAAACGTCATATTTAAAAAAAAAATATCTTGTGTCCGTTTCTCTGTTCGTATCAATATAATAAATGCTGTGATATTATGCAAAAATTAACTTAAAATGGAAAACGTGAGCATGAATATGAATTGCTATCGACAACTTAAAACCGATAATGTCGTGAAACACAATCGAAACACGAAAGTCACTTCAAATTGTGATTATGCAGAAATTAAATTTCTACTATTGTTCAAAGTCCTGTTATTTCATTGTCAGTTTAATTTCGTAGTTTAGTTTCGTACTCGGATGACACAGGGATTATTTACGCTTTCAATCATGTCCGAATAACTTTCGTTTGGACTGTCAGAACACGAACTTGATGTTTCACTGTGGTAATATTTCTGTTTGTCGTTGCTTTCATTTCGATTTCTCAGCTTGTTGTAAACCTTTTTCAGAAAACTCTTTCGGCGGAGTACTCTGCGCGCAACGCTCGACTCGTCCAACCAATCGGAATCCTTTTTTGTTTCATATCCAGCTTTGATCAATCTTTTGCACAAAACCATTGATTCCGCATTTGTTGATTGAGAGGCCAGATACATAGCACTTTGTCCAAGCTTGTCGACAATGTTGACGTCACATCCGTATTTGATTAAGAACGAGCACACTTTTTCCCGCTGTTCCAGTAAGCCAATTAGGAGAGCAGATTTACCTGTGCACTCGAGCTCATCAAGATCGGCTCCTGTAAATAATAAAATTCATCTATTAACGTTCTATTCGTTTGAATCAAAGGCAAAGATATTAATTTCCATCCTTTTTAAGTGAAACAAACATATCATTTAAGATTGAATACCTGACTCTTTAAGTCATTTGTTATTTAAAGAAGTCCGCGTATTAGACTTGCAAATATAGCTTCACGATCTCGGTTATACTTGTAATTATTGTAATTACCTGATTTAACTAAGAGCTTGACAATTTCCAAATCGTCGAATACAACAGCTCTCATCAACGGTGTCTGACCGAGACAATTTTTGGCATCCAAGTCGGACCCTGAAAAGTACAAATACAAACTCATATAAGCATTAAAGTCAATACATACGTTACTGAAATAGCGATCAATACAATTCGAAATAAGTACAAAGGCTGACAATGTTTCCATTTGATATAATCAAAACGACTCCTGTATGTAGGTGTAGCTGGCTTTCATTGTGCCACTAGTCATAAGGTCTAATTAAGATATCAATTTTGGCGACGTACATGATCAATGCCACTATATATCTCACATGACTATAAACAAAGTCTCATAGTCTCACTATTTTTGTCTACTCTGCTGCACAAGATGTGTGATTAAGAACTGAATTAAAATGTTGATCTCCCGGTTACGTATGTACATGCAGTGTTGTTGGTACGAGCAGATTATGGTAAGCTAAGATTATGTATATACACCTGTCTGAAACCTTAGTGTTTGATATTGCCATTATTGTCAATGTATTATATTTAATAAAATCATGCTTAAACATACACTAACATTAATAAACATACGATAACACGATAACGTTTTTGTTCTCTATGATAGTTCATATTTTACATGACATGCAGATCGTGGAACAGAAATCGTGCAGACTAGCGTTCGTGTTGGGAATACTGACTGGGCACGGTGACACTACAACAAGGGAACACCATTACCGGACCGAACTGAATAGATCAATGTCTCCTATCGCTATAACATATTAATATTATTTTGCCGTTAATGTCACTGTATGTCTATCATGAGAAACCGCTATGCTCGAATTAAGGTACGTGTAGGTATTTTCTATATTCTATTATAAGAATAAATTGGTTTTGCCAAATATTGAGATACAATTATCGCTAACTATCATGAGACCTTACTTGTGTACTTACGAAACACATTTAAGACCAAAAACCATATTTTGAATCTGTGTTTGATTCAGATGCAAGATAGGTTCTGAGGTGTTAAATGAACGAATTGATTCTCTTTCAAATTTCATTTTGAATTTAGCATTGTTTGTGTTATTTTGAAATGGTAAACTATGTTTCAGTCGATAAATATACATATTTACAAAGCTGCGATAAAACTTACCATATTTGATCAGGAGTTTGACAAGGTCAGGGTGTGATCTTTCTACGGCCTCGTGCAGGGCAATATTTCGGTACTCGTCTGGTATATTCGGATCACATCGGGATTCCAACAAACCACGGGCAACCTCAAGTTGTCCATAACGGACTGCACAGAACAACAGACTCCTTCCATTGCTGTTAGTAGCGTTGACCCCGCTTTCATCAATGCTCAGACGATTTGGTTCTGAGTTTGAACGCTGCCGGCATAATCGACGGTGATTGTTCGCAGAAAACTCGTCGTCTAAGGAATCCGATGATCGCAACATTCGGAAACTCATGGTTGACATTAAACTCAGATGAATTCAAAGTTGAAATTATAATCCAAGTCTGTAGAATGAAGGTATTCCGTGTAGTATAACACAAGTATAGAAGTGTATTAGAGTCGATCTCCCTTACAGGTGAAAACACGTGTGTAAAGGTAGGTAGTGGAAGATGAACTGTGCTCGTCTAGCCTTTCATTGTCTTTATATATCAACGATCTACCTTTACCTGTAGGTCAGGTAGAAGGTCGCGACATTTCTTCACTACCACTACATCAATCAAACGGCAATACACTTAATTACAGAGGTCATTTGAGCATAATTTTGACAGTTAGAAACATACATGTGATCATGGTTTCATGAATACAAAACTCCTCACCTCCATTCCCTAACACTATATGCGATCTGATTGGACGGGAGTGTGTGAAAATGCCTGCAGGTAAGTTGGCAGAACAGCCAGTCAAAGCATTGTCTCCATCGATTCGCTAATTGTTTGCTGTGGTTTAATACACGGTAGCGAATGAGAGAGAAGCCGGTAAGGAAAGTTACACTAATATTTGGTCTGGCTGTAAGAAGACTATGGGACAAATATAACACCTTATGAGGAAGGTGCATATTAATTTGTCTCGAAGCAGCGTCTGTAAACGTGCCCCGAGGAATATTTGGAACCAAGCCTTGTCATCTTAGTATGAATTATGATTTTAAATTGACAAAACATGAATTTCATTGGAGTAAAACATATCATCCCGAAGACAACAATGCGATATTATAACTACTTTTTTCCTGATTTATTTCTATCGAAAACTTTGTTAAGGTGAAGCAAAAGTTAGCGTGCCCAAAAGAGTATAGTGTAGCCAAGACTAATTATCTTAGCGTTGATATTAATTATGATTTTAAATTGTCAAATTCGAAATGGTATTGGATAAATACAGAACATCAACAAGACGACGATAAACTATTCTAACTGCACTGTTACTTATGTTTTTTTATCGACAACTTAGCTACAATAAAACATACCATTGAGTCACGTCTAAAATATATAAATCTAAATAGAATCGTTGCAAGTGTTTAAGCTTTTCGAAAACAACTACTCCATTTTCTACAAACATAATATAATTCGGTTGCTCTCTGTTTTGAAAATAACAAATGCCATTTAACGTTTGGTGCATCACACTTCTACCTAAACAATCGATATACCAATGCACGTTAAAGTCTATCATTTTTACATTTAACATGTCAATTCTAAATATTTTCTTGTTAGCATACTCCTAAAGCTAACAAGTCATTTAGCATTTTCGTCTCCACTGTGTTTTACTGATTTTATATGCAAACATTAGCAACAGGTGATTGGTTCTAGGAAAGAGCATTTATTAACATCTACATTAAAAACGCTAAGCAGGACATGTAATCATTTATATAACGATCCTATTGGTAATTATCCTGTCTACTTGTAAGGAAGATATAAATAGTTTGATGATTGTTTTTCGACGTCGAGTGACTCGCTCGTCATTAAATGCCAGTAGTAACACCTTGTCTCACGATTAAATGATTTCATAGGCGATATTAATTGATGTCATGGCATAGTCAGGAAGTCTTTAGTTGTTATTGTTTCCGATAAGCTATCCTTGACAGTAAACAACCTAACGGAAACGCCATTATACTATTCACTTCATTAGTGTTTACAAACCTACGCTTATAAACCAGACAATGATAGTTTTTCTGGCATAAGTATATTAACACATGAGTGGGCACGAGGCAATGTTTTGTTAATAATGATAGGCGTACGCTAACACCTACACATAGACATCAGACAACTCACATACCACAATAGTAGCACACGTGCAGGCATTGTATGTATCATACGATATTATTAACCTTTTCAAGAATATGCAGCTCTGGTGAAACATTTATTCTTGGATATGGATTTTATGAAATGAAAATGAAAATTAATCGTAAGTTTCAAATGTCGTTAATAACGATTAAAAAGAATAATGTTAGAGTACCCTTAGTATATTTTGTTTTAGTTTCAAAGATTAAACATATGGTGATATGTGTGAGTTTTTGTACTATGGAATTACTCATGAAGTTATCAAAAAAATCAATGTAACTGCATGTATAATTGTCCATGCAGGTTCGGGAAATCCAGTAAAAAATGACATTCTATTAACCCGAAAGATTGCAGATAGCCTTTTATAGGTTTATACATTTGTAAAAAGGAACAGGTGTTATCAAATGAACGCTATTTATTTTAACGTTTATCGTAGCATATATCTTGCTTTACTAGTGTAGATCTTTATCCTATGTTCCATCAACCTGTACTGACAATGATGAGCCGGTGGCTACAGCATTTTTTTTGTTGCGTTAAATTGCTTACAAACGGTGTCAGGTTTATCTACCGAAGCCTTATCGCACTCAGAATGTTAACCGGATTGTATCCTCCTTACTTGTCGACAATGGTTAATATATATGCAGATAGCAGACTACCTAAGAACATGAGCTCTGTAGAAGAATAGTGAACGAAATCATAAAGGTTTCTCGTGATAGACATACAGTGACATTAACGGCAGAAGAATATTAATATGTTATAGCGATAGGACACATTGATCTATTCAGTTGAGTCCAGTAATGGTGTTCCCTTGTTATAATGTCACCATATACAATATGTGACGGACAAACTAATAAAGAATCATATGGGATTACCAGTGAAGACAGGGATACCTTCGGTTAAGCGGTGGATCACCTCTACGTTTCTGAGACATACGTATACCATGCGAGTAATCCACAATTACTCTATCCCACTTGTGTTCTTTTGGTGAACACCATTTCTTGGATATATGTTCTTTTCTGAATCCAGATAGATTGCATAAAACGTATGAGCTGGTGTCCGCAAATATGACGTTAAATCAATGTGCTAGCTATATGAGACCTCATTAAATGTCATTTTAAAAAACGGAAAACTATCTCCCGCCAAACATGGTCGCCAATCGGCATCACCTAAAATATACAATTATGAAGCAATCTTGTTAAACGTTTGCGTACTGCTTTACATTTTTTTTTAATAAAGACAATGTTGATAAGGAAAAGGAATTGCTTACCTGTTTACCGAGCCTTCTGTTTGTTTTAAACAAACAGTATGCCTAAATCCACAACATTTACTTCCAATGCAATGTGAAGTAAAGTGGAAATGAATATTACAGTAGGGCGACTCTCTCGAGGAATATTATGAAATGTTTAACGAACATAATTGACAGTTGACTTGGTGCTCAAGTACAAAAAAAACCCATGGTTGTTATGATATGCAAATGAAGGGTTAAAATATGTAAAGATATTACTGAGTCTGTGACAGCATTTAATATTGTTCAAGCACACCTGCTATCAGAAACAGTGAATATTGCAGTAGGGCGCCTTTCTCGAGTAGTATTATGAAATGTTTAACGAAACATAATTGACATTTGACTTGGTGCTCAAGTACAGAAAAAAACCATTGTTGTTATGATATGCAAATGAAATGTTAAAATATGTAAAGATAGTGCTGAGTCTTTGACAGCATTTAATATTGTCCAAGCAAAACTTCTATCAGAAACATAACCTCCCAAAAACACCAGTAATACAATACTGTAATTGACGCTGTACGAAATCTACTGTTAAATTGTATAGCCCAAGACATACTTATTTACTAATGTTGGTCTTTCATTACCGTAAAAAGACCGGACGTGATGGTAAGAGTACAAAAAGTAAATTAGTAAGCTTTATATATACATAGGCGTTTGTATCATTACGTGTGCCACTGTGTCATGCAAATGGGAACGTAATTATGTTAATGTAACTTGGTTGTGGAGAAATTAAAAGCAGTCATGCAATATAAAGAAAGGATATACGAGGGAAATTGCAGGGAAATGGTAATGCACAAATAGAAAAACTTCAATGTTGTTATGATACATTAGTATGGCTGTCTATAGCTATATGTGTCTAAGATATATGTATAATATAATTATAAGAATATTGTCCATAGCGTATGGGTAATAGTATTATAACTATAATATTGCTGTCTAGAGCGTCGTATTGCATGTATTATAATTATATTTATATTGCAGTCTTTAGCGTATTTATGCAATATTAAATGCTGGAAAAGGAGGCTAACATTTTGTATTCGAATACTGAAGTAACAAAATAAAATAAACCCAACATTGGGGTGATATGCAAATATGGTTTGGAGATTTTGGCGGTGATAAATAGTGATCGTGCACCTTATGGTAGCGTAAATTACCATTCATACGGCCAGTAACTACAGGGTACCACTCCGTAGATGGTGTAACAGACCAGCCATTCATTGTGAGGTCGCAACATTAACGCACGGCCGTACTTATGCAAATTCATACAAACTACAAACTTTTAACCACATGTTTCGCTAGTACAAATTAGTTTGATACGTATTTGAGGAAAATTAATGACGGGTTTGTCATCCAGAATAACCTTTGCTTATCAGATACCGGCTTTAAACATGTTCTAAGTGTCTTGTTTTACGATAAGGTATGCTAGTGTATTGGGTATTTGCATTGTTGCAAATTCCGTAAACACAGAAAACCTGTAATGATGAGTAAGTCTGTAATTTAAAAAGTCAATACAGAAGAAAAACAAGAGAAAAGACACACAACTCTGACGCGAAACAAGATTTTGATGTTATCGTATGTCAGATGGTACACGCATATATTTATATATGACTGACAATTGTGGAGAAATCATGCAACGCGTAGAGATATCACAAAAGCGATATATAATTAGAAATATATAGATTCTACTTCTATATAATATTATGAAACATCATTTTGAAATCGAGGAAAAACGCAAAATATCTAAGATCACAGTTCTTCCCGTGTGCGTGTGTTTTTGGCAGTGGACAGATTGTAGTAAAACCCGATACCTTTCTCCGTGTTAAAAGGAGCTTATGTTAACTCATTTACACAAAGGTTATATTTGTCATAACTACGTGAAACTGTATATATAATATATTGCAAGTAGCTTGTAAGGAAGAATCAACACATAACCAGATGTAATGCGTTTCACCATGAATGCAAGATATTTTCTCAAAGTTTATATGTCCATTTCTTAAACAAACACATAGATTTAATATTAAACACGGGCTTCTTAGCCAATTTATTTACCTGTCTTCTGATGTGCAATACAAGCACAGGTGC